GGTCTATAGATGGCCAAAAACTCCTGAATCAAGATCAGGTTTCTTAAGTAAAGGTTTAATTACAGCAAACAAAGCTCTGTGGCACATAACCATTCATTAAAGATAAATTAAGTACATCTAAAATATGGATATTAATTAAGGGAAATGCTTCTTTGAACAGTCTGATTGGGATGGGATCTAGCAGACATGTTGATGGTTTGGATAAAGCTATTATTTTAGATAATTCAGAGAGCTCAACAGAACAAAAACTGTCCAGACATAAATCAGGTTCTAGTGACATTAAAGCTGCCCCAACTGATAGAGAATCAGAGGCAGTAGCAGGAAGTTTGGCATGAATTTTTTCCTTTTAAATTATTTTTTTCTATAAAGAATCTCATGAAGTCATCATTACATGGAGTTATAGGGATACATGGCTCAACAGAGATAGGACTTTTCATTAGTCTAGCTATAGTACTGAACAGAAACCTGGGATTGTTTTTATTCTCTTCTACTAAAGATGAATAATAAACAGTTCTAGCTTTACGAAGGGCTTTCTTATATGTTAGCAGACTGTCTCTCCAGGTTAAATAAGATTCTTCTGTTAGTGGAGTGCCATTTTCTCTCTAGTTTTCATATGCCTGTTTTAAAGAACGTACTGTAACTCTGAATTAAACCAAGGAGTCAGCTTCCTCCGATCGATAACTTCCTTTTTTAGTGGAGCAATTTCATCAAGAGAGGTTTGCATTAAAGTTGTAATATTATCAACAAGACCATCTAAGTTAATGTTGTTTGTTACATTATTCTGTAAGACAGAGGAAAATAAAGTTGGAAGAGATTCTTTAAATTTAGCTACAGCGTTCTCTGATAAACATCTACTATAATGAAATTTACTCTCAGTAGCTATAAAGTTAGCTAATGTAAACTCACAGTTTATTAAAAAATGGTCAGAGAGAACAGGATTGTGAGGATGTGTTAAGTTCTTGCTCTCTATACCATACGTCAGAACCAGATCAAGAGTGTGATGAAGGGAGTGAGAAGATCTGTGGACATTTTGACTAAAACCAATTGATTCAATTAGATTACTAAAAGCTATATTTAAYCTATCACTTTCACTATCAACCTGAATGTTAAAATAATAAATCAGTCAGAAAATCTGAGTATTCTGATCAAAACTGAGAATAAGGGCCTGGTGGACGATAAATAACAAGAAGTAGTAGAGGTTCTGATTTCCATTTTGGATGAGAAAGGATAAAGACTCAAACGAATTATAACTAATATTTGATTTAGCACTAATTAATAGTTCTGACTTATAAATGGCAGCTACTCCTCCACCACGTTCTGATGTTCTAGGAACATGAAAATTTTAATAATTAACGAGTGGATTCATTTATACAAACAAAATCCTCCTGTTGTAACCAGGTTTCAGTGAGACAGAATAAATCAATATGATGATCAGTTATAAGATCATTAACTAACAGAGACTTTGAAGAAAGATATCTGACATTTAATAAGTCACACCTAATAGTTTTATTGTTTTGTTCTGGTAAAATAACTGTTTATTTTTATAAGATTTTTTATGATTTATTTTTCTAGAGTTTTTATATTTATTCAGTTTGGTCCGTGTGTGGGCTGATACAATCTTAATGGGGGTTTGGGTGGGTAATAAAGGAGAAGGAGCAGAGAGGTGTGTAAGACTACACTGAAAAAAAAAACTTGTAAGATGTACTTGAAAAAAAATCCTCCAACAAATTTGCACTTATGTTTGTTAAGTAAATTTAAACGCTACATTCATGTAATA